GGTTAAGCGTCCGACTTCAGCCAGGTCACGATCTCGCGGTCCGTGAGTTCGAGCCCCGCGTCAGGCTCTGGGCTGATGGCTCGGAGCCTGGAGCCTGTTTCCGATTCTGTGTCTCCCTCTCTCTCTGCCCCTCCCCCGTTCATGCTCTGTCTCTCTCTGTCCCAAAAATAAATAAAACGTTGAAAAAAAAAAAAAAAGAATAGTAGAAAGGAAGGGAAGGAGGGAGGGTAGGGAAGAGAGGAAGATGAGAAAGGGAAAGGAAGGGCAACAGGGAAGAGAAGTGAAGGAAAAGAAGGAAAGGAAACAAGAATTCAAGAAGAACAAAAAGAGAAGAGTATGAGAAATAGAGGAGGAAAGGCAAACGAATGAAGAGCTGGAAGGAAGGAAGGAATCAACTCAATTTCCTAAGCCCAGGAAGTTAGCTCTGAAATACTTGGTGGGACTTGTATTAATTGTTTATAATAATCAGTTTATTTTCCTAAGGAACTTTTAATCTATATGTTGGGAGGGATGTTACTGAAATTATAATTTTATGTAAAATTCTATTGTCAAAATTTGACATTTAGGGACATTTGGAGACAGTAATTCTTTTATTGAGGAAATTCTGAATAGGTGAATTTCTAGTTTTTATTTATGCCCATGCATGTACTATTACTATGTATCACTTGAGGCTGCCTCTGTGCCTCCTCAGTGCTCATTTTGAGCCCCAAGTCTTAGGCATCTGACATATGAAGGGATATCACTATGTAATAGTAATGGTTTCTTTGCTTCTTTTTTTCATTCTTTCTTTCCTTCTTTCTTTTCTTTCCTCCCTCTCTCCTTCCTTCCTTCCTTCCTTCCTTCCTTCCTTCCTTCCTTTCTTCCTTCCTTCCTTTTATAAGCTACAACCTTTTCTATCTGGTAAATGGGATCCTTTGGAAAATTGTAAACACACACACACACACACACACACACACACATTTTAAAAACATAACACGGGGCACCTGGGTAGCTCAGTTGATGAGCGTCTGACTTCGGCTCAGGTCATGATCTCACAGTTCATGAGTTCGAGTCCTGCGTCGAGCTCTCTGCTGACAGCTCAGAGCCTGGAGCCTGTTTCAGATTCTGTGTCTCCCTCTCTCTGCCCCTTCCCCGCTCATGCTGTGTCTCTCTCTGTCTCTCAAAAATGAATAAATGTTAAGAAAAAAATTAAAAGAAAACATAACAGTTTCTGTCAGTATGGACTATATGTTTAAATAACTGAAGAAAATTTCATTGTGAGCAAGAATATAAAAGAACCAAAAATCAGACATTACAAAGTGAAAATGGAAAGGCCAAATTCAGGTCTAAGAGAAATTTGGCATATCCTGCGTGATTAAAAAAAAAATGATTTATTTGCCAACATTTTAATGTAGAGAATTTTAGATAGAATGTTTCATGTGTTCTCACACACACACATACACACACACACACAACAAAATATCTGGCAACCCTATGTTGAAATTCTCGTAGAGTTTTACTAAAACTGGAGGTGAAAGTTAACCACTGGGATGTTGCAATTTTTCAGATATTTGTGTCTAAAGTGCTTTTTCACTCATTTATGGCTATCTGTCTGTCCTCTTAGGCATTTGAGGATTGACTTTTAGTACACTACTTTGCATTATAATAGATATGTTTACAATTTCCTCAGTAGTTTTCTAATCAATCTTCAAATCCTCTTGTAAAAATACACATCTTCCTTGGAGGCAGCCTTGCCGTGCACAAATGGCTGCTCTCGTTGCCACTCAGTGTTCTCGTGGTTCCCGCCTTGCCAGCATTTGGATTGAGGCTGGGTTGGAGTTTGGGCAAAACTGAAGCTCTATCTATCTAACTAATAGCTGTTCACTTCATTAGAGCTAAGTACTTGGCTGTTCATGCCACAAGAAGGATGAAAGATACTTTTGTTCTTTGATCTCAATGTATCCTTGAGATTTTTCAACTAGATGAAATTTCAGTCCATGCTTGACTTCAACTAATATCTATATAGAAATTCTTCTCAAGGAGCACCAAATGATATACTAAAAGAAGCAATGATTTATTATTGAATTGTTTCTTTAAAAATAATTACTTAAACTAAATCAGTGACAGAATAAGTAAAACATGGCAAGGATTTACTTTCATCACTTATGTTCCCTATATTATCTTGTTAAAGACCTCTAAATGAGGTATATTAACTTTGTAGCTTTGACTTAACCCAAATTCTATTTACACATTACTATATTTATGTTGGAAACAAGTATGGGGAGATTTGCTAGCAATGAGAAATTTTCAAGTTTACAGTAAGTGCTAGAAATAGGAAGCACAGCCAAGCAAGACATCAAAGCGTATCTATCTTTTCTTGAAAAGCGGGTTGCTTTTGTCTGTGCCTTACTTTGAGAAAGTAGGGGGAGAATATTGTGTTTGAAGATATTAGAATAAACATTCTAATGCAGTTTAATGGGTATGGCGAGTTGGCAATAAAATGGTATTCTTTCAGTATTGTTCAGGATGAGAAATAAGCTGGCTCAAAAATATTACTTGGCTACATCAAGACTTTTTCATATTTGAAAGTCTACTTTTCAAGTGACTATCACCCCAAATTTTGCTTACAATTGTGCTTCCAGAAAAGAAACCACATTTAAATTTTTTTTAATTTTTTTAAAATTTATTTTTGAGGGAGAAAGGAGGGGGAGGGGCAGAGAGAGAGGGAGACACAGAATCTGAAGCAGGTTCCAGGCTCTGAGCTGTCAGCACAGCGCCCAATGCAGGTCTCTAATCCGCAAACCATGAGATCATGACCTGAGCCAAAGTCTGACGCTCAGTCGACTGAGCTACCCAGGGGCCCCCAAATCACGTTTTATATTAGTCATATGTGGCCATTTTCACAAGTTCTATCAGCACAAATTTGCTTCAGATGCTATATTTCTAATTAAAAGACATATTTAATGAACTGCAATTCTGCTTAAAGGAGATTTTTTCCCCTCAATCGGACATTTATTTTGCTGAGAATACACATGGTTAATCAGAATGTCAATTCAACGTAAAAGTGACCTTGAAGCTGGTGCTAGGTTAGATGCAGTGAACTAATGAAAACTTGATAGCCAAACAGATGGCCTTAATTTATGGTTTTTAAATACATGTCAGAGAGACTGAAAACACTAGGTTTTTACTCTTACATTATGTTAGGAATGCCTCAGTCAGATATTATGCTCTCCATAATATGAAATATTTGTTGAGAGCCTATTATGTAAGAAAATATTGAGAATTATGGTAGATGATACATGATAGAAATAGATGATGGATAGATACACATAGATAGATAAATATAATCTATTCCAAATAGTTTATAATCTACATGGGAAAATATGTCTCATCCTGAAAGGTAAATAATAATAATAATAATAATAATAATAATAAAAGTGACCTAGGCTGAGTGTCTAGTTAGTGATCAAAGTAGAAAGGGACATCCACTGAGACTGAAGTGGGTGAGGGACTGATTTTAAACTAGATATTTTCATCAGAGTGGCATTTGGAAGAGAGCACAGCAAAGAAGCCAAGAGGCAGACATTCCTTTATTATCATGAAGAATTAAATGTACAGTGAAAATAAAATATTTGAGTTCTAAATATAGGAATGGATAATGTCCCTTTTTTAGGAAAGCTGGAGAAATGTTGTATAGAAGCATTATAGTTACACATTTCTTCTAAGATTAAGGATTACGTTGAAGAAAAAACTCACCAGCTGGATTTGGTAGATCATCACTCCTCCAACTTTTTCAACAGGCTATTTACTGCCTATGATTTCCCTTGTTTTTCTGCTTTTAGCCTGACTATTCCTGCGAAGAGAGTGAGGCTGAATTGGTTGTGTTATATTAAGCAAGTAAAAGCAAGATATATAGTGGTATCCCTTTTGAGACAGAAAAGTTTCCTGATGAGGTTTTTAATCACTCTTAGCAAAAATAAAGTTTCAGTATAGGTCCCTGTAGGTATATTTAAGTAAAAAAAAAAGGTATCAGAGGCAATATTGAATACAAACTAAAATTAGTATTCTTATGTAAGCAGAAAAACTTATGAATGAGTATATGCAGAAAAATGGAATGTGCAGTATAGTGTTTGAGGAAAGAAGATGAAACTTTAGATACAGGCTATTTCCGGGTGGGAAAAAGAAGTAACACCAATCCCTTGAGATGGGTGTTGAAAGATGCTTGTAGTTCAATATTATTCTATGCTTCTGGGCAACCAATTAGAAAAGCTATTACTTATGATATGATGGCTAATGCAGATTAATATCTACCCCCATTACCATAAATACTAAATTTCATTTATACTGTTGCCACCACTGGAAAGAACATTTCCCTCCAAAGCACAAAATAATACATAAACTGTCCAAAAATCTTGTGCATTGTCATTATGATTTTTGAATGATCCATGTCCTGTATAAGCCTTTTATTTCTTTTATTCATATAAAATAAAAAAATAGAAATGATTACCTATGATTTGCAAAGTATTAGCTATCCCTGAATACAGCTTGTTAATCATAATTGCCTTAAATTATTGCACTTATTCATGCGAAACACAATTTGCCCCACAACTTTCCTAAAAATAGAGATTACTGGTTTATGAATGTTCTTTTTCAATGTGGAATGATTCCTAACTATTAGCGAACTATCCTGGCACTCTATAATGTCTTTTTTAGGTTTCTACCTCTGCTTTACTTATTTTCCAGTGCTGAGTTGTCTGCCTTTTAAAAAGAGACATTTTCTTCCTTAAAAACAAATTTTATTCTATCGTTCAAAATCAGAAAGGCACTACTTTATCTTGTTACTCACTTATCTTAACTGTCTGTTCTTTGTCATTTTCCAGTTGTTTTTTTTTCTGTTGAACATAAATACTGGATTACTTTGGAGTGTCTGGAAAAAGTTCTGCCCTCCTCTGATCATGTTAACCTTTAATTATAAAACCCCAGTTTCCTTGCAATAGCTAACCTATCTTCTCTCTTCTTAGGTTCTCCATACAGAGACAAAATCACCATAGCAATTCTTCAGCTGCAAGAGGAAGGCAAGCTGCACATGATGAAGGAAAAGTGGTGGAGGGGCAATGGTTGTCCAGAGGAAGAGAGCAAAGAGGCCAGTGCCCTGGGGGTTCAAAATATTGGTGGCATCTTCATTGTTCTGGCAGCCGGCCTGGTGCTCTCCGTTTTTGTGGCAGTGGGAGAGTTTTTATACAAGTCCAAAAAAAACGCTCAATTGGAAAAGGTAAATGTCACTTTTTTACAATTTAAGGCAATTGTTGTGATAATAAAACAAACTATTTTTGATCTTTCCAACCAAGGGTAATTCTTAGAACGGTGACCGCTAATTGTCTTCTGCCATTCGTTATCTAACAAAGGTTCACAGAAAGAATCATGATCAGCTTTGTGCTTTTTAATTTAAACATGGTATGTTTAAATCGAAGCCAGCTTCAGAACAAGTGGCTATTTCTCCTTTTACTGAAGCCTGAAAAGGAAGAGACTTTGGCTGCTTGAAGTTCTTTGTGGTTAGTTTAATGGAGGAATATAGTTAATTAATGAAGGAAGCAAAAATAAGAAATTGTAATATGAAGAGAAGTACTTCTCTGCAGATAAAGAGTGCTTTAAAATACAATCCTGAAGAACAGTTTCAAGTTAGAGGGTAAATGAAATTTTTGTTTGAAGATTTTTAGTGCAATAAATTTATAATGGAAAAAAGAAATCTTAACTTGCATTGTGGAAATAACAGCTAATTTTCTAAATTAGTGAATATGTGAAAATAGTGTGGTTCCTTTATTGCCATTTAATGTTACTTTTAATCCTTTATTCCTTTGCACCAGAGTCTTTAGAAGAATGTATATACACACCTGAGACTATTGCATATTTTCTTGGGATTTTAATACGTTTAATATTTTGTACAAATGTCTTTCTGTTCCATTCTTAAAAAAACTTGTGAATCTCATTCAAATTATATATTTATAGTGCTATAATTTCCTCAGTTCTATAAATATGAAGAATATTTATAGAAAGATCTCTCTTTCAGATGGTACATGCCACGTTTTGTATGTAAATTTATAGCTCTAAACATGAAATACTGCTTTACCATTTTTAAGTCTTCTGGCATTTCATTTACTTTTTGTATGTAAGCATCTCTGTTTTTAATTTTTTTAATGTTTATTTATTTTTGAGAGAGAGAGAATGTGAGCGAGGGAGGGGCAGGGAGAGGGAGACACAGAATCTGAAGCAGGCTTGAGGCTCTGAGCAGTCAGCACAGAACCCAACATGGGGCTGGAACTCGTGACTGTGAGATCATGAGATCATGAGCAGAAGTCAGATGCTTAACTGACTGAGCCACCCAGGGGCCCCTCTTTTGTTTTTAATAAAAAAACATTTTTTAGGGCTTAAGTTTTTAGACCTTGTGTCACAGTGATATTATGTTCCCTTTCATATTCAAAAGGTTTATCAATTTTTATTGGTAAATATGAAGAGTAAAAATATGAAATTAAAAATAATATCATACATTAAGGTAAATGTATTCTGCAAATATTCTTTGAGCACTTACACCTTTAAAACTATTTTTGAAAAGCAAAAACGTTTTCCTGTGTCTTTGGTAATTTATGTTGCAATTATCCTTCTGAAATCAAAATTTTGGATACAACATTTCTATATTTTTCCTTAACTACAGTATTTAACACTTCAAAATAATGTTTTTATAAATGACCATTTTGATAGTCTCATTTTATCCGTGAGGAAAGTAACCAATTCAAATTTTGAAAAATCTCCCCCACAATATCCAGGATGGCTATATCTGCTGACTTAGCTAAGTCAAATATTTGTTGTGACTGACAAGTAAGTCTAAGTACACTTTTTATGTTATGATCCTTTTTGTAGTGTCAAAATGAGTTTTAAAGTCAAATCCAAAGAACTAATCAAAGACAAAATATATTAACTCAATTTCCATTTTTACTATAATTTGCCAATAAATGTGTTATTTGGTTAGATAATGCTTAAAATGAGTCCAAAAATACAGAAGGAATTTGGGTTTTCTAATTGGAACCTCAAATCTTCTATATGTATTAAAGATATATCTCAGTATTAAAATAAAACAAATGAATTAATCTCTTTAAACATGTGGTGTTCTATTGCTCTTGTCTCTTTGTATCCTAGTCATATGATTTGCCTAGGCCATGTCTTTAACGCACAATTAATGTATAAACATTCTGTTAAAAAAAAACAGAACAAAAAACAAAAACAAAAAGCAAAGAATCTATGGATTTAATTCTGTAAAAAACCTTCTTCAATATCATTATAAATAACTAGTTTAGTTGGATTTTCCACATATCAACCAGCTCTCCTGAATTTCTATGGACCTGTAGGACCTAAAAAGTTAAGGAAAAGGAATGTAATGTATTGACTGAAATAGATGAAACATTACGTTGGAAAGAAACATCTATGTTGATATTACATGAGCATTATTAGTCATATTCCCAATGCTTTTCACACCCTGTCTCCACATAGCTTCCAAAATGAAATCCAAATTCACTAGCTTAGCACATGAGGCACTTCGGGATCTGTCCCTACCATTGGAGTTTTATTTTTTGCTTCTCTCCAATTTGTACCTTTACTCTGGCCAGACTAAATTACTTTCAATTTTACAAGGTCATTCAGCTTTTTCAAATCCTCTTCCATTTCATTTGAACAAATCTTGACCATTTTTCTACCTGGCAACCTCTCACCAGTCATTTTAGGTTAGGCATTCAAGACTAAGTATCAACTTGCCCAGAAAGCTTTCCTTAATCAATAGGATATAATGGATTTGGGTACATAACACAGTTATTTCCACAAGATGGTGTTAGGTTTTCATTTCCTATTTCAATGAAAAAAATATGACATGTACATTTCACTTTTTTATACTTAGGTGATTTCAGGTACTGTCATAATTCCAAAAACAGTTCCCCCTCCTTTGAGAAAGCTGGGAAGGTGTTTTGCCCATTTAAACCGCATCCATCATTAAGTCTAGATATCTTTTTTTTCTGTGAAGCTTCTGCATATCTCCATTCTCCCTTAGCACACTATTTTAAGCATTTGTAGCTTTTTCTGTGTGGTTGCCTCTCTCCCTTATTAGACTTTTAGTTCCTTTGGTCAAAGACCTAGTGTCTTTGGTTTGCATCTTTGAGGTCCCAAATAGTGCCTGTTGGCATAAGGTAGATTGATCTATCATCTATTTATTTACCTATTTCTTTGTATTTAAATTAATAATGAAGTTCATTCTAGTGAACTGTTTTAAAAAGTGTATCATAAAGAATAAAAAAGAACTGGGGCGCCTGGGTGGCTCAGTCGGTTGGGTGGCCGACTTCAGCTCAGGTCATGATCTCTCGGTCCGTGAGTTCGAGCCCTGCGTCGGGCTCTGTGCTGACAGCTCAGAACCTGGAGCCTGTTTCCGATTCTGTGTCTCCCTCTCTCTGACCCTCTCCTGTTCATGCTCTGTCTCTCCCTGTCTCAAAAATAAATAAAACGTTAAAAAAATAAAAAAAAAGAATAAAAAAGAACTATGTTTCTACATAGTTCAAAAGAACTATATTTATAAAACAAATACTTGTAGGTTTATTAAAAGTGACCCATTTTATTTAGTGGGATAAATTAGGTTCTTGGGCTCAATTCTTCTTTAACTTTCTTGAGAAAAAGATTTTATTTAGTTATACAGTTTGTTTAGCACCTTACTTAATTTATTAACACTAGCCATAAAATATTCCTAGATTTTATCCTGAAATATGCATGAGGACATATAGAAGTTCACAGTTTATTTACACTTATAATTGTGCCTTTAATTACATTTTAAAAATAAGGTAAATATTTGTGAAATCATTCATTTACTCAATAATTATTTATTGAGAGCCAAACATGCAATGAATTATATTTTTCACATTGAAGGTAAGCAATGATATATTATTCATAATTCCATAATTCTTTTCCCTTCTCTTTCTCCATTTTCTTCCTTCTTTCTTTAGACTATAGTATTCCAGTATTTAAAAAATGAAATTTCTTCTCTTTATCTAAATAGGCTGCCAGATACAATATAGACACAATTCTAGTTGAATATGAACTTTATGGAAAAATTTATGAATAGCTAATAGCTTCCCATGTCAAGTCTTACCTCTAATGAGGATAATAAAATTAATAGCTATTATTATTACTATATAAAGTGGAAAATAAGATGTCTTTTATAGCACATATTTTATAAAATATAAGTGGAACAAATAGGTCTTGATGACTATAACTTTATATTTTCAAGTTGTTTGATAATTAAGAGTAGTATAAGAAAATACCATTTTTAAATGAAGGCAGGTTAAATTGGAAAACAGAAGAAAATGCTGAAATATATAGACTTTAAAAATTCAAAAACTGTAAATTGCATTCCTTTCAGATAACCACAAGATGGTGTATTACAATTTTCATAATAATTCATGGTTTTAATTTTGATGCAAATATTAATGCATCAAAGATACATTGCTTTTCATTTATTCAAACTTTTAAATAAATAAATATTTATTTTTCTGATTTTTCCAAAGTATAACTTGACCATTTGGAAAGATCCTCGAAAAAGTTTTTCTTTTTCTATTACGTCTGAAAAAGTAACTAATCAACATGTGAATTTTCTAATTTATTTCTTCTTGCCTTACCTTTTCCCTGATTTAAAAAAATATTACTACTTAAGTTTCACTCAGTAAGAATCCAAGAAACTGTTGTGTATCTGAGGCAATTATCCGTGCATTTCAGGTTACGTGGATATGTTTGAAAGTCCTGTTTCTCTCTAAGTCTTACTGTATAACTGAAAAAAGCTACTTAATATACAGAATTTTGTTTTGCCCGGTAGTATGTATTAGAGTATATTGGTTTTGTAAGCATGAATTAGAAGTGACTGTAATAATTTTAATTTTCATTAAACTATTTTATGACATAATTTATGTTTAAAAGTACTCATTTCTTAAATATTTTAAGATGTCCTCTTTTAAAAGATGTACATAATTCTGACTTCTTTTGATTTCCACAAGAATAGCAATATAACTTACATAGTTTAATATTTTGTCTGATTTATATACAGAAATATTTTCTTTCTTGTGCAATTGAAATGTATTTGCCTGTAAAGATTGTTTTTGTTGAATAGTTTGAACATGAATCTTTGAGTTTCCTGACATGAAAAATCTTAGCAACAAAAATACTCTTTATTAAGTATAACAAAATGTCTTA